CTCACACACACACACACACACACACACACACACACATGCTGTTTCCAGTCCAGATGTCTCTGATTACATGTTAGTTAATTAAAGAACATTAGATGAGAACTTGTTTGTTGAACTCATTTGAGTAAGGGGTCGTTCACACAGAATGTGTTTTTCCATTCCAGTGCGCTACTTTTCCATAGTTTTTCTATGTAAACACGCACTAGATGGATGTGTGTGACGTTTCGCTTTTTTGCAGTGCATGCCGTGTTTTTAAGACACCGTGTCAAGTTAAAAGAATTTAAACTTTTACATGCAGTGCCACCACTGATCTATATAAATCTATTATAGCTCAGCGAGTGCCACTCATCGATGTCAGTTCCAAAACAGCAGACCAATCAGAAGACCCTGGAGGCGGGGCATGCTTTTGTTTACAGTAGCAAGTTGGCATGGCGTTCTGCGCTGCCCTTCTTTTAAAAAAACATTCCTGAGCGCTACGTCACACATTTTTAAACGCATTCTGTGTGAACGGTTAATCATGAGTCACATGATTTTCACACACAGCATCAGACTCCTCCCACAATGTTTCATCCAGCACTAATTTCCTGATTACAAAACCAGAAAATCTGATGTTTATTCCGTGATTGTGTCATAAATGAATATGAGTGGCATGTGTGAATCTCATTCTGTCTGAGCAGTGAGACAGCTTTGATGATGATGATGATGATGAAGGCGTATGTGTATTTCTCCCATCCATGTGCGGATGTTTGCCGGTGTGATTGTGCGTCTGACGCTGCTTTTATTGTGTTGCAGTGGAGGATCTGTGAGCGCAATGCAGAGTCCAGACATGAACGGATACAGCGGAGTCACAGCGCAGTCCTCACAGATAAAGTAAGCCAAACAATCACAACAACTAATGAGATTTTTACAAAATAAATACTGAAATATTACTTTTTTTATATTTTTATGAAATGATACTGTAAATATGAAAGTAAAAGCACCAGTAGGTGAAAGCGAATCACTGAATCATTCATTTTACCAATTCATTCAAATGACTGATTCATTCAGTAACTTGCTGCGTCCCAATTCACCTACTTATACTATGTTCTAAAAGTTCATACTTTTGAGAATAGTAGGGAAGCTTTGGGACACACTGCTTCGTCATAGCTGCGTCTTTAACGGATGCTCTGTTGCTTAGTTACGTGGATTCTGTCACCGTGTAAACTGCCCTGTCAATCATCTTGTCACATATTCACATTTCGTTTAATTTAATTTCCTACCGTATTGGAGAAAAATAAAGAGGCACGTTGATCTGCCAGTCGCGTGTCTTTCATGCCGAGAACTGCTCATGTGTTTGCATAATAATGCATTTAAAAGTTAATGACCAAATGTATCTTTATAAAACTTCACAATGTTGCTGCAGATGAAATATAATGCGGATAACATTAAATAAATATTTTTTCATCCGTTTAAACATTGATGATTTATCATTCAAACCCCTTTCTCTACCTGTTCGTCGGTCTCGCATATCCGCCATGTTTGTAGTTTTTAACTGTTTTTATGCATGATAATAGTTCTAATCGAATCCTCGTTCAACGTGCAATGGGTTGTGGGCAATTTATAAAGCGTATAGTTCCGGTGCTTGATTCTGATTGGCTGAGCCGCGTTCTAAGCTGTTGTAAATGACGCTACAAAGTAACACACACCTTTTTTACGTTTGTCTGTTGCTCGGCAACCACTTTGTAGCAACCACAACTGTTTCTGAGGCGCTACATTGTTTGGTGGAAGAACACTGTGTTTATTAATATCATTACACTTTATTTGCTCTGCTTTATTTTGTGAAACCTTGCTACGTATATGGAATAACCGTTTTATAAAAGCAATAAGCCCCGTGAAGCCGTGGTTTACAGTGAATTTATAACAGCTCCGCGTCGTACCTAACAACGCCCCTTAGCTGTAATAAATTCCCTGTAAACCACGGCTTCACGGGGGTTATTGCTTTAATTAGCCGTTAGAGTGTGCATCGATCTGCACTTCGAATTCTAACCGGAAGTAGTAGACCATCCGGGAATCTTTGGGATACTCATTTCAACATACTACATTTTGGGACATACTACCGTATTGACCCGAATATAAGACAATGTTTTTTTCTTGGAAATACATCTGAAAAAACGCGGTCGTCTTATATTCGGGGTCTAGACTTTGACATGTCGATAATACACCCACAACACTAGGTGGCGCCAAATACGCATAAAACCAGTGTGTCATGAAATACGTAATGTAATGCGTGTTGTAAAGATCTCGAGTAAAAACAAAAGAAAAAGAAAAGCTTACAGCTGCATGAGTCGTGACTGTCACGTTAGCCTGATGGGACCAAACTCCCTTCGTGATTTTAAAACGTAAGACAGTACCCAGATCTGAAGACTACAGTAAGATTTAACTTCTACTGTTAAGAAGATTGTGGTAGGCTACTATTAGACGGATAGCCTAAATGTCCTAATTCAGACAGGCTACCTGTTTTTTT